TGGATAATGCGGCGTCAAAGCTCCTGGGACTTTTAGAGTAGGAGCCCTGCGAAGATCTGTGTTCCAGTTCGTACGACACATGATATGGGGGTGATCCTGAGTTTAATTAGCAAGCGCTGGCTGAACGATTGAGTACGTAGGCTTGTCCACGTACCTTGAAGCTTGACTTCGAATCCATCGATATCACCCTCGCATACATCCTGCTTAATGAATGCGTCCTTGGCGCTTGTGACGCTTTCAGTTTGAATCAGTGAAATCTCCGGTCTGGGGAACCAGTCCACCTGGAATGTAGAGGCGGCCTTATCTACAGTGCCTCGACACTGGCTATCATGTACCTCGAGGATTTTATACACACCTCGAGACTTGACAACTAGGTGGTCGTTCGGGGCGATGGCAGTCTTGAAAAGCTCACTTCCAGATTCATTTAGATTTCGATATCTGATTGTCCAAGGGGGTTCGCCCTGAAGTCGAAGCGGAAGTTGCAAGGATGTATCTTCGACAGCCATGATAGCGCTCTTCTTCTCTATCAAGCCAAACCCGCCGCGTGGTCGTTGACGTCGGACTGTAATTTTGATTTGTTCTTGCAGGAAGGTGCGGCACCCACGTTTGTCCTGCACACTGCTAAGAGCGAGAATATAATCTCCGCCTTTTGAAAGTACCGGCGTCTTGATCTTGAAGGTGTTGTCTTCTAGATTACTTGCACGCTCTGTTTTGCGTTTGCCATCGTGGACAATTTCCCACTCAAGGTTGAAAGGGGCGTCGCCATTAAAAGCGACATCTACCTCGACTTCGGAATCTAGGCAAGCGTTTATGGTGTCGCGTGGGTGGACAATTCTGGCTGAGGCAGCTGGCTTGACAACCTGCTCAAGGACTGTGTCTTGACCCGATAGGGGCAGGCCAATGTACACCGCGTCACTTATCGACGTGAACACATACCTGTGTCGGCCGGCCTTCTTAGGGATGAGCTCAAGCTGTGAACGCAAACCGGGGACGCGCAAGGTCTTGTGTTCTGGGGGGCCGTCTGAGATGATATCGTAGTGGATATCGAACGGAGGAGTGCCCACAAGGTCAATATCAACACGAAGACCAATGGAGTTGCCAGCGCACTTATCAGGTATGTCTTCGGAACGAATGGATAGATGGGGCTCCAGGGGGTTGAGCAGCAAACAAGATGATGGCTCGTCTACTTCACCTTCACAAGAGCCACTGCTCACCGACTTGAGCGTGTAAAGTCCAGCTTCAGATACGAAGGGTCGGTCTCTGGAATTCTTTGCTGAGTGGCGGAATGTTGTAGCTTCGCTGCCATGATCCCCGCTGTTAGTCAGAGTGTCGATGGGCGAAAATTCCCAGCTAATTTCGTGTGATGTGTCTTTGACAGAGCCAGAGAGACTGAAAGAAACAGGCAGGGATGCAGCTCGTCCTTTCGCAACCTTGATTGGGTTTCGAAGGTCACAACCATCCATGCGAATTTTCGGCCGCTCTTTCACCGTGAACTTTTGAGTCAGGCCCTTTGAGCTGGCGACATCAACGTCCTCGCCCTCCTTGGCGTACTTGACCTCATTTCCAAATGCGTCGTGGACTTCGTCAACTGAATACTCCCATTCTCCAGGGTTGGTGAGGGACTCGTTGAGGCCGACTGTGACTGTGGCAGGGCGTGCCCACGAAAAGTCATCAGCAGCAGAGACGGTGGCCGTGTTCGCGCCAGTAATGAGAGGTGACGCAAAGCCGTCCGGCTGCAGGCTTTGGAATCGGAAATCGTGGTTTATGCCGTTGACAGAGCGACTATATTTGATCTTGAGAGGTGGAGTGCCCATAACTTCAAGAGATAGGTCAGACAGGTCGCGAATACATCGCTGGGAGGATTCCGAGGCCCGAATCTTGGCCTGCGGACAGGGAACAACGTAAGTTTCCTTGGCGGCGCGCTGAACCTCGAGTTTGTACTGGTCCAAGACTTTGCCCAGCCGATAAACACCGGGTTTCTTGACGACATATAGCCAGCTGAACCCGTCGGCGGTCGGGTCAGCATTGTGATCACGAATGGCTCTGGCAACCTTGTTGACTTCGCGAGTGGGTATCTTGATTGTTTCCTCCTTGTTGGTATCAAGATCGATGCGAATCAGTTCAATCTCGGCGGGCACGGTGGCATTAAAATAGATTGGTAGTGAGGCGCCAATCTTGTCCTTTCGGTTCAAGCAATAAGGTAGCAAGTCCGGGTTTAACACAGCAGAGCCTTCGGGGAGAATGTTGATGATTTGTTTGCCCATAATTAACGAATGATTATTCAAAATGCTCGAGATCTTTACGTTGTGCTCAGAAATGGAGATTTCGCGATCGTACAAGACCTTGGCAAAACCGAGGAGCCAGGACTGCCATGGTAGCTGTGCTGAAGGTTAGTTGGATGTGCATGAGGTGGTGTATGAATCCAACTTGGTGTGGAAGTCAGTAGACTCACGGGAATATTGAACATCAACATGTAATTGAAGACGACGTGCCCAGCAAAGAGGGTAGTGACTAAAAATTGCGAAAGTTCAAGCCATGGTATCCTGAGCTCAGGTAACCCAAAGAGGAAAGCAAAGTCAATAAAAATCCACTTGATAAACAACCACCAAGATGAGTCGCCGTCTTCTACGACCTGAAGCCAGTCATAGAGCTTCCAGGCCCACAGAAGCACGTATACAGCGAGGGCATATAGACGCTGCTGGGGAGCATCGAGGAAGGTTAGAGGAATAACAGGGTCGGTCGCAACTCGACGCGCAGTATTTTTTTCGGGGGCGAGAGGGAGAGTGGGAGACTTGGCAGAATTGCCATTGGATGAAACAGTGCCGACTGTGGAAGGCGTCTCTTGGAGGTTCTGTCGTCGTGCAACGGTAGCTGGGGTTGCTGGAAACCCAGACCGCAAGCGAGGAGTCGCGCTCATGGCATTCCGTATCAACAACGAGGGGAGCAGGAAAGCATCGAAAACCAAACACGGATGAGGTGACGGACGGTGTGTGCAGAGCGTGCAGCGCGTCGTGGGTGCAGGTGAGACGTGATGGAAGCACGAGCTGATGATGCGGCAGCAAAGCTTCCAGGCGTGTGACCAACTTTTTTGTGCTGGTGTTGAGATACAAGGACTAACTTAGTAGTGCCAGGCAACCAAGTCGAGGGCACGGGCTACCCGGTAGGCCAAGAGAGCGAGAGCGAGAGTGGAGTCGATCTTGAGTGTCCACGGCTCCACGTCTGCACGGCATTGAACATGAAAGCTCGTCCCTCGAGCCACTCGTGGGTGAATTATTGTTCCCAAGGCACTTGAACCTAATCAATCGAGGTCGAACACCTACTCGTGCCCGCCCCACTATTTTAGGCGTCTCGTTTCACTCACCACCTAAAGGTGGTGCTAGACAGCAAGGCGAGCCACCCACTAAGGCGGGCCACTTTATATGTATATATATATATATATTTAATTA